GTGCTTTTTTGTATGTCGGCCATTTTGGATGCAGTGTAAGAAATGGTTCCTAGCATGCCAGCCAATCAAATGACATATCACTAGAAAGCCCAGGATGTTATCTAAACAGTACAACAGGACTTGACAGAGAAGCTCAAAAAATTCAAATGTCCACTACAGAGGACACAAGTCAATGGGCGGGGTCGCAGGAGGATACTCTAGATAAGAAATATACAGATACATTTTAAGGCTAATAACACACTAAAACTTAAATCTGGATTGAAAAAATGAAAATATATCAGTGCCTTTTTTTTCCTTAAAATGGACATCATTAATAAGTTTTCTAAGGCACAAAAAAATCTACTAATTAAACGTTCTAACTGAACTATGGCATAATCTTAGCTTAGTCTAAACCACAGGTGTCAAACTCAGTTCCAAAAGGGCCGCAGCTCTGCACAGTTTAGTTTCAACCCTAATTAAACACACCTGATCAAACTAATTGAGTCCTTCAGGCTTGTTTGAAACCTACAGGTAAGTGTGTTGGAGCAGGGTTGGAACTAAACTGTGCAGGGCTTCGGCCCTCCAGGAATTGAGGAGTTTGAAAGCCCTGGTCTAAACAAACCAAAACAAAACAAAAACTACTAATCTGATATCTTGATATTTCACCAAAACTGAAAATTATGCCATCATTTACTCACCCTCTACTTGTCACAGACCTGTTATTGAACATAGGTTAATCTGATAAATTCAAAAAAAAAATAAAAAAAGGTAACCATTGACTTTCAAAGTATTTGTTTTTCCTATGCAAGTCAGTGGTTACTAGTTTCTAACATTATTCAGAGTATCTTCTTTTGTGTTCAACAAAAAGTGAGTAAAGGTGAGTAAATAGTGAGTAAATATTAATTTTTGAGTGAACTTTCCCTGTTCTGTAAGTTGACTAGTTAAGTACAACAGCTGTTAAGTATGACTCAATGTATATAGCCCCGGTTTCACAAACAAGGTTTAAGGCTAGTCAAGATTAAATTGCATGTTTAAGCTGTATGAACTCAAAATAACTTGCGGTGAGATGTCTTAAAATATGTCAGTGTCATATTTTATCACCAGGTGCACACCAGTAGTATATATTTCTGAGGCCATATTTATAAATGTGGCTTAAATAGCCTAATTTAACTAAGGCCTAGTCCTGGCTTAATCTAAGCCCTGTTTGTGAAACTAGGCCATAATGTATTAAGTGTTGTGACTCAGTGTATAAGTCCACAGTATATTGCTAAAACCTAAATGGTTAAATGGATTTAAATTAAATGATCAAATGTTACAGTGTACATTTTAGACGTCTGAATTTGCCTCGACCATATTAATGATTATCTATTTTGTTTGCAGTATACAGCACGATCTATGATGCCCCAACTGACCCCGAGTATTCAGAAGCGTGACAGATTTGTCCAGTATTCAGAAGACACACAGAGACACTCTCTTGACAGTTCACCGCAACTTCAGTCTACATCGCATCTGTCAGATCGTGGTGATAATATACTGTCTAACAGGAAAGACAGCAGATCAAGCCAGGTTGTTTATGCCTCTCTACATCACCTTGAAACACCATTATCTTCTACACCTCGTCCGACAACTGACGAGTGTTCAGAATACGCAGCGATACGTGTCTCCTGATGCTCTGACTGTGGGTTATGCATGATGTCAAATCAACACAAAGTTTGTCAATTAGTAAAACTGTTAATTCACAAAGAGGTTTTGTGAAGCTGTACTGTACATTTGGGGTAACAGGAAGCTGAAGATGAGTGATTTTCATACCTCTTTACATAATGGAAAGTTACTACTGAGAGGTGGATTTTATGAGGCAAACTCACACAACCATGTATTAAAGGTAATCTGAGTTGTATGCACTAACTTGAAAACATGAATTTTTATACATGGAAAGCGATATTTATTTTAAAGTAAATGGTTTTCTTGAATATTTCAAATAACTGAAAATTAAATGTATAAATATTTGCGAAACTATGGGCAGTGATACAGTGTAACACATTTGGAAATGTTGAATTGAAACTATATACTTTTTATATATTTGAAGTAAATAGAACTTACTGCTGACACATTGGTAAATTCTAGTGCTTTGAATGATAGTGGACAAAAATAAAAACTGAAACAATTAAACCACTTAAAATTACGTTTAATTAATATTTAAGGGCTGCCTTGGGACCCTTCAATTGTGTATTTTAATTTCATCAAATGATTATTGTTCTAAAAATGATGACATACATTGTTGTACTATAACTTAATGTTACTCTGAGTTATATGTTTTGTCCAGCCTGATCTCACAAGAAAACGTATGTATTTTAAGTTTTGGCAGTTTAGTGGCTAATTCGTACGAATTCGTACGAGTTCAGTTGTAAGAAATTGTATGATTTTAAAAAGGAGGCGTGGCACCTAACCCCACCCCTAAACCCAACTGTCATTGGGGGATGAGCAAATCGTACTAAAATGTAAGAATTAGATCGCATGAATTCGTACGAATTAGCCACTAAATGAAAAAGTTACGAATTACCGTGAGATTGTGTTGGTTTTGTCATATGTCGTTAGTGTCAAATAACCATCAGTTGCAGATTCACTGCTGTTTGTAAATCCTGCCTAAGGTAATTGATCAATCGATTGTAGAGTTTAATGGTAATGTGATTTGTACACACTACTCCTTTCGCAAACCATTGTTCAGTTACTATATAGTTGTATCCGCTTGTTAAGTGTGACGTCATGCGATGCGGCCTCCGGGTCCAAGCGCTACAAAACTGAATGGGGAGACTCATCAATAATAAACATTTACAAATCGCTGTAATACTTTTGAAAATCACAATCACATAACCATGCCTAATATCCAAAGGCCAGAACTTTATTGTTTTATAAATTGTTCAAATTTTGGTATTTGTGATGCAGCAAGTCCAGAGACCGATGTGTACACTATGATTTTAAATAAAATTCACTTTAAAGTGTGATAAGACTAAAAAGTGGCTAAAAACAAATATTTTATTAATTCAAATAAGTAGTGGCTTGGACTGGTAAACAGTATTCCATACGTCACGACTCAAGCGGATAGGCAGGGTTGTAATTTCTGATACAGCTACATTCTGGGATTATTAACTAAATATTAACCCTTTGCAATGTACTGACCTGATACTGAATGTTTCTTGTAGTTTTTTGTCTTCACTTGTGATTGTAATGTATATTCTAAACTGATTGTATATTTACATAAATAAAAATACATTTAGTCTTTAGTTTATAGATAACCCATTTATAAATATTCATGAAATGTCTTAAGGCACCTAGAGCAACTACTAGAACCATAATCCCAAGGTTTCCATATCCGGGACCAGGCCATATCCTGAGCTGCTGCTGCGCTGATGGTCATGGGGAGTGGAGAACATGAGTTTGATTCCAGCGACGCTCCAGGGACAGACGAGTCTTCGCTGAGGCCAGCTTCCAGCCTCCACCGCAGTGACTGAAGCTCTGCACAAGACTTTTGGCCAGCAGAGAAATTAAAATGGTCGTGCTCAACTGAGTCTGGTTCTCTCAAGGTTTTTTTTCTTCACTCCTATCAGGTGAAGTTTTTTTTTCCTCTCCGCTGTCACCACTGGCTCACATGGTTCAGGATTGACAGAGCTATTTATCGATGAATTTGCTCTTCAGTGTTTGAACTCTCAGTAATGATTCTAAAAATCACACTGAACTGAGCTAAACTTAACTTAAACACTGAAAACAATAGGTTACTGTTCGTAACCCCGGTTCTCTGAAACATCGAGTGGAGAGATCCACCTATGGGAAGGCATCCGTGCCTGACCTCTGCAGAAGCATCCAATTGCACCAAGTCTGGCTTGACAGACAGAAGCGCGTGCCCAATGGCAGGTAAAGAACCGCCCCTTTACCTGTGCGCATAAATCATTCTGCACGCGCTGCTATTCCTCAGTGAGCATATTCGCTTCTCGTGCAGCAAGCGGGGCAAACTTGGTGGATCTCTCCACTCGATGTTTCAGAGAACCGGGGTTACGAACAGTAACCTATTGTTCTCTTTCATCATCTCGTGTTCGAGATCTACCTATGGGAGATATGGACAGCTCCCCGGTTGCCCAATACACTCACAGCGAGGCTCACCAAGCCAGCGGACGGTCTCCTGAAAGGCGGTGCATGACACGTCACAAAGCATGTGGTAACATGCGTTTGAGGACACCTAAAAACACAATATGCTGGAGCAAATATAATATATATGTATACAATGTATGTATTTGTACATATAAATGTATATAATTTGTGTCAGTTGAGGGTATGATAACACTTAGGGACAAAATTAAGCCAAGTTAGACCAACTAGGCTCAAAAAGTTGTAAAAGGCATACGGCACAGGGCTACGAAGAGCCCACACCTAAGACAGAATGAGCTACCGGAGTCTGAGTAACATCAAGACGGTAGTATCTGACAAATGTATGTGGAGAGGCCCAGCTTGCAGCGGCACAAATGTCCTGCAAGGAAACCCCTCTAAATAGAGCCCAAGAAGCAGCCATGCCTCTAGTGGAATGTGCTCTGAGGCCCCCTGGAGGCCGCACTCCCTTAGATTCATATGCCAGAGAGATGGCTTCCACAAGCCAATGAGAGAGGCGTTGTTTAGAAATGGGATTCCCCCTGTTTGGGGGGGCCCAAGAAATGAAGAGTTGGTCACTTCTTCTAAAAGAGCTGGTCCAGTTGATATAGGCCCGCAGAGCTCGAACAGGACATAAAGCATTAAGCCTCTGATCCTCATTGGAGGAGAATGGAGGAGGATGAAAAGCGGAAAGCTCTACCCATCCACAAGAAAAATTAGGGAAGCATTTTGGCATAAAGGCCTGGTTAGGCCTGAGAGAAACCTTTTCTCCACTGAGGGAGAATTTAATGCCCGAGGGGTGAACAGAGAGTGCATGTAGATCACTGACACGTTTAGCTGAAGCCAAGGCCAGCAGCAGAGCTGTCTTGAAAGACAGATGCTTCAGAGAAATAGCCTCTAGGGTCTCAAAAGGATGGTGAGTCAAAGCATCCAGCACCATGGAGAGGTCCCACTCAGGAACAACTCTTCTAGTGACTGGAAGGGAACGACGGGCACCCTTCATAAATCTACGAATAAGAGGGTGTTGCCCAGCCGTGCTGCCATCAAACCCTACATGACATGCAGTGATGGCTGCTAGATAGACCTTGATTGTAGAAAATGATTTTCCACAGTCCATAAGGCCTTGCAGAGGAGGCTCTAGCGTTCTGAATAGTTGCAATAACACGTGGGGAAAGCCCCAGTGTATTTAGGTTTGCCTTTTCACGGGTCAAGCCCAGAGAGCCACCCTGTCTGGACGAGGATGGTAGATTTCCCCATTCGCTTGGGACAGGAGGTCCGTACGTAATGGGAGGGGCCATGGCCACGGAGCCCTGGGCCACCTCGGTGCTATCAGGATCAGTCTCAAGCCTTGTTCCTTCACCCTGACTAGGGTTGGGGTTATTAGGCAAAGAGGAGGGAACGCATAGAGCAGCATATTGGGCCATGGATGAGCCAGTGCGTCCACGCTGAGGGGGGCATCCTCTTCCTGCAGCAAAAAGAACATAGGACAATGGGCGTTTTCGTGCGAGGCGAAGAGATCGACGTCTGCCTGGCTGAATTTCTTCCAAAGCAGGCCCACTATTTGAGGATGGAGACGCCACTCCCCATAGAGTGGGTTCCCCCTTGACAAAAGGTCTGCACCCCTGTTCAGAACGCCTGGGACATTGGTCGCCCGTAACGACAGAAAATGTTGCTTGGAGGATCGCATCCCCCCTCGGCGGTTGATATGTGCTACAGCTGTAGTGTTGTCGCACCGCACTAGCACATGATGCCCCTGCAGGTGGGGCAGAAAATGTTTTAGAGCTTTCCACACAGTGAGAAGCTCCAAATAATTTATGTGGGCTGAGTGAAGTGTGTGAGACCACACGCCGTTCACTATCCTGCCCTCCTGTGTGGCGCCCCACCCTGTCAGCGAGGCATCTGTCGTTACCACTTTGCGCATCATGACAGCCCCGAGGGGGCTCCCATGAGCGTAAAACTCTGCGTTCCTCCAGTGGCGCAGCGCTGTTGTGCACGAGCGCGAGACTGTGACATAAAGGGAGAGATCGCATAACGGGCTGAGATGAAGAGATAAAACCCACTTCATGAACGCCCTCATTCTCAAAAGGCCTAGTGGCAGGACATGAATAGCCGAGGCCATGAGACCTTGTAGTCTGAGACATGTACGATACTGTACCCTTGCTCCTTCCCTGATTTGTGAGAGACAATTCAGAAGAGAGAGAATGCGCTCTTGCGACAGGCGTGCGCATCGTAATTGAATTCAGCTCCAGTCCCAGAAAAGTCACATTTTGGGATGGAGTGAAACTGCTTTTGTTCACATTCACCCGGAAACCGAGTGCTTTGATGTGAGTGAGCACACGGAAAGTATTTTGAATTACTTTCTCTCGCGAATCGGCTATGATCAGCCAATCGTCTATGTATGTCAGGATCTTGAGACCAGATGTTCTCAGCGGCGCAAGCCCTGTCTCCACACACAGACAGAATGTCCTCGGGCTTAGTGAGAGCCCGAACGGAAGAACTGTGAACTCGTAGCAAACGCCCTGGTAAGCGAAACGGAGAAATTTCATGTGCGGAGGATAGATGCTTATGTGGAAGAAAGCATCTTTCAGATCGATCGATGTGAACCAATCGTTCTGATTTACTGAGCGTAAGAGAGAACCGTGTGTTAACATTCTGAAGCTGTATTTCCTTAAATGTTTGTTCAACACTCTGAGATCCAGAATAGGACGAAGAGAGCCGTCTTTCTTTGGAACTAGGAAATAACGGGAGTAAAACCCCTGCCCGATCAGGTGCGGGGGTACCACTCGAACCGCCCCCTTCTGCAGGAGATTTCGTCTTTCAGAATGTGATCAAAGCTCTCTTCTGTTTGAGAAGAGAGAACTCCGTTGAAACGCGGGGGTCTTTTGGCAAACTGAAGCCTGTATCCCCTGGTTATTGTGTGAATTACCCATTCGGGTGCTGACACAGACTGCCAGGCTGTTACCTGATTCGCAAGTGACCCCACACACACCGGAGAACTGCTTACTGCAAATTCAGCCGGTTTGTTCATTTCTGGTGCAATGGCACCCTCTAGTGGACAAACTAGAAATGTGATTCACAGAAATGTGTTCTTTTGGGAACGAATTCATTTGATTAGTTTGTTTTGAGGTGTATTTTGTGTGTTTTGTGTTTGGGAACACATGGGCCGAAGCCTTTATTTGAGCTCATTGGCATTTCATTGGCATATTTTATTACCCTTTCAGATGATTGGAATCT